TCGACAACAGTTCCAGTAGCGTTTCATTGTTTCTTTTACTCAAAATTAATTATTTTTTTTAGGCATCAGATATTATGAAACATACCTCACCAGTCATTCTGAGGAGTTGCAACCGGAAGTACTGGCTCTCGGTCTAGGAGTTACACCACCACCAGCTGGACTTAAACAGCTGTATATAATTCCTTCTCATCTCCAGAAGAATGTTTTTAAAAAACTTTTAATTTAAAAATTTAAAAACATTTAAATTTTTAGAAACATCAAAAATTGGTATCTTAATATAAAGACCCTCCTTTACCTATATCTCATATACAATTATCCTTCAAACATGTAGTTAATATCAAAACTTGTGTAATGTAAATAACTAAATATGTGTACCCATCCCAATTATGTAAGTACCTACATTATTAATACATTTTGACCATTTATATGCTTGTATGAATTGTATATAATTGTGTAATGGCATAATTAAAAAATGTGTATTCTTGTGTAAATTATAAATTGATTCTCGTCGTCGCTTATGACCCAGTTGTTGAAAAGCGACCTTAAATAAATAAAATTAAAAAACAGCTGTATCTCATCGCCGCCAAGATCTCTACGTTCGATAAAAATTAGCTCCTCAAATATCGGTGCCACATTGTTGCGATATTTCTATTAAGCTACGTAGATTGCTTAAAAAGAAATACATCAATACATTGAGAATACATATTCAGTAAAAAGTAAAAAAGCGAGAGTATAAAAGTAGAACTAATATTGGCATATTCAATAGTAAATTATAATTTAAATTAATTACTTTTATATCATTCAATAATTTTTTCGTGGCACTTTCTTAGAATGAAACCTGTATATATTTCATTAATTTCAACCAGCAATTAAGCAAAAACTTCTCATTTTTTTTTCAAAAAATTGTACATCACCTTTTTTAAAGAGCTTATTTTGTACAACAGACTTTGATGCAAAAATATCTTATCTTCTATTTTGTAGTTATGAAATGGTTTTCACATTTTTCGAAAAAAAAACAAAAAAAAAGAGCAATACCCTAAATGAAACAAGCGCCATATTTTTTTATCGTTCCTTATTATATAGGCGAAGAAAATTTAAAAACAAAATTTGGAGCGGTTTTGGAGATTTTTTTGTTGTTTTAAATTTCAATCGCAAATTACGCAGAAACGACTGGTTTTTGAGAATAATAATGTATTTTCTGCTTGAAATTAATGAAATATATGCAGGTTTCACACCAACTACGAGTCACGAGAAAAATTAAATGAATAAAAAAGTTATTAATTTTCATTATAATTTCCTACTGAAAATACCAATATTAATTCTATTTTTCCTTTCTTGCTTTTTATCTCTTTACTCAATGTGTATCCTCAATGGATTGATGTATTTCTTTTCAAGCAATCCGCAAATATTAATAGAAATTTCGCAACAATGCCGCATTGATTGAGAAGCACTTGTTTTGTTTATATCTTCTCTCTTCCGAGAAACCTTGGGCGCACTCTTTGTTGAAAAGCAATAGTTTATCGTAGTTTAAATAGCGACCTTTAATCTTGTTCGTTGAGAAAGCAAATAGATGAGCGGCCATTGTTGGTTGTTGTTACGCATTGTTGTAGCGCCGCACAGATAACAGAAAATGAGGGCTACTTTTTTTTCGATAATAAAAACGAAACATTTTATATATTTGTAGAATATTACAATACTAAATTGTTTAAAATTTACTATTATATATTTTTCGATCTTTTTTGTTTGCCAACGCTGTAAGAATCGTATTATTTATTAACTTTTAATTAGTTTACTATATCGCATTGTGCTTATTTTCTTCACCAAATGTTATACACTTTCAAAAGAGTTTTACAAAAAATAATTCGGCGAGAAACTGTGGAATAATTCGGAAAGAAATAGAATTTGTTTATTCTATTTGTATTTATCTCTCTACCCAAGATATCATATTGACTCGTCATACATGATTGTAATTGTATATATGTAATAATTGCTATTATTATTATTATTATTATTATTATTATTATTATTATTATTATTATTTTATAACCATTGCTAATGGCGAGAGCAGAAGCGCTGTATTGCACACTAGCTATTAATCCAACAAATTGTGGTAAAGGAGTGGTGGTTGGTTTTCCAAGGCTCAAGAAAACTTACGCATATAATACATTTGTAAGTAGTATCATGAAGGACATTTAAACTCATTCAGACCAATAAATTATTTTGTTTGTGGCAATGGCAAATCATGCTGCGTTAATGAGAAACACTAACCACCATTACCAAACTAGCACATTTTATCCTAACTAATCATAGACTTTTGCATAATATGTAAAATTACTCACATCTGGTATTAAATGATTTGGTATTACTTCCCTTTCAATAACTTTTAATTCTTCCAGAAATCTAATTCACATGAGTAAGACCTTTTTTTTCTGAGAGAACTTTCTAAGCTCAACCACCCACTTTCCTGGTACGAATATACTCTCCGGTACGAATAATCATCTACGTAAGATTTCTTTGGCTGCGGCAATCAACTGGCTATAGTTATCATGTCTAATGGTAGGTTGCATATGTTGGTGCCTTTCAAGAGGGGTTGTTTACAATATTTATCGATAATTTTCCGCTGACTCCCCCCCCCCTATTACCCCGTGACCCACACTACCCTGCTTCCCCTATTCGTTAAAATAATAAAATTTTCCTGTATGAAAGCTTGAATACTAATGAAACAACATTGAGAAGACTTTATTTGTTGGTTTTGTTGAAGTAAGACATTTTCGAATCTTTCGAAAGAATATCGAATGATGCTCAGTTCAGAGTTTTGATCATTGGTGTGTTGTTTTACTTCTTGATGAACCTGCGTGGGTTGCGTGACATTGCACAGTACGTCTTTTGGCTATTCGTTAGTGAGTAAATGTGTTCATTTATATTACGGTTGAGGAGTCAATTCGTTCTGGGAATTTCTAAGGTAACTACTTTGTTTATAGTGACTTTTTCTTGTTAGTTTGTGTTCCTGATAGGCTGTACAACCCTTATAGTTCGCAGGGTACCTGCCCTCACACAGAACACATGGTGGTATTAGCATGTTTTTCTTGCATTACATTTATTTCAGTATACTTAGGTATGTTCATACTTTTAGGAGCGTTTACATTGTATAAGTGTACACACACAATAATTGTGTACTCTGCTGTTAAATTTGAGCAACCACATATGAGAAAAAAAAAATAAAATAAAATAAAAAATAGTAAGTCTACAATGTAATCGCTGGAAGTTAAAATAGATTTGTGTGGATGGCTTCTTATAAATGGTTAAAAGCTGTCATATTTCCTTTGTATTTAAAATGGATGTTTACCCTTATGGTATTATGTCTGTGAATTTATTATTTGATTTATTTGCATAGGTTTCTTATTACTTTCACTCAAAAGGAAGTATTGACCTGACCTGGCAAAAGTAACAAAAATTGTGTTATCATTAATTGTAACTTTGAAGAATTGTTGACAAGAAGCATTAAAGAAATATTTAAAAACTAGCTTAACATGTTGCCTCTGGTGGGCATTATTATGTAAATGCATGTGCTGTGAAAGTAGTTAGTAATAAAAAAGTTAAAAAATAATACAATTGTTTGGCCCATCCATCTTCAAGCTTACGTTACATGAAAAAGTATCAAAATTATTTTTTATTATTCATTACAAAATTATATTAAATTATTGTCAATCTAATAAATCAAGACATCTTGATTTATGTCAGTAAGGCTCATTAGTAATTAACAGTATTTCAGCACTGTAGGTACCTTGAAATTGTAGAGTTTTAAATGATTTAATTATTGACTCATAATTTTTACTGTATTTTTGAAAATATATTCAAAGTAATATTGATGTCAATCATTTGAGACCATTCTTGGGTTAAATCCCGGCAGTGCACGCAGGTGGTCTGAGAGACCCAGTATACTTTTCTTTAATATTGTGATTGCGGTTTGGCTGCTCTTAACCACTGCTTCCTGGTACCTTTGCCTTCCACAGATATGAGTCACACCTCTTTTAAGAAAGTGAGTATTGTTATCCTTTCTAGCAGCGAGACGTTCCAAAACGTTGAATGGGCCTCAGAGACTACCTGCATGCACTTGTGCAACATCTTTTGTTCAGTACTTTATGCAACTTAACAAAATATTAGGGACAAATATGCAGAAAGTTTATTTGTTTGGAGCATTCACTAAGAGTTTGTAAAGCATGTAATGAAGGAAAGTTGTTAGATGTGTAAAATACACCAAATACAGTGAAATTTTTTCAGCCTAGTTCATTTTTTCAGTTTAGTTAATTTGCATACAAACCACTAAATACAGTAATCAATTATTTAAAAATATATCTCATTATTATATCCATCTTTTTTGTGACACATTCCTTTAATCGAATTATAAGAGGAAATTGAATTAAGGGAACTGCAAACAAAAGGGTCTGTGGGACCAGGTGCGTACACTAATGCTACAGAAAGAGGCCCGTGGGCTGCCAGCGTAATAAAGAGATAACTGAATAAATTCTGAAGATAATACTTGTCAATATGGTCATTAATATTTCATTAAAAACTTCTATTTGTACTTGCAATAAGTACTTGCTATAAGTACTTGCAAATTTAACCTGCTTCAGGTTAGAGGATGTTAGGAAACCTCTCATTCAGCCTTTTCTGGTTTTATACTCGCTACATTTTTTATTTAATACTTCAATTTCTTTGACAATCAATAAAATATCATACATAATGTTCAAAATATGTGAATAATTATTCTTGTTCATTTCTCAGAATGAATGCTTTCATCTACTACAATATTATTGGTAGGTGAACATCTATTGGTGAATGGTTAGTTCACAAACATGAAATACACAGGGGTGAACTGAACCAATTTTGATAGCTTTATGAAGGTTGGAAAATGTATCTGTCTTGCTGTAGCAAAATATTCTGGCAATGTTAGATTATTCAGTTTTTTCTTGTTTTGGTCTGGTTTCATGTTTGCTTAATTCAGAAATTATTAAAGTACAAATAAATGTATCTGAGGTTATTCCTGAGGCAATTCTTGGAAGAGAAATAAATATGACTGATTACTTGAATCATATTTTGAACATGAGCACCGTAAAAGGAATCTGTTATTTATTTTGCTGTCCAATTAAAAATATATTTAAATTTCATTTAATTTAATAAGCAGGATTCATAAGTGGGTACCATATATTTAATATTGATAAATGCATCATCTCCTCCAAAACGTTCCAGTATTTCCAGTGTTTCTTGTATGAGATCCCCTATATTTTCTTCTTTCATTTGAGTGTAGTCAATTCCATCACCACTGTTTACTGTAAGAAAACATTTCAATTGGATTTACTTTGAAACACAGAAAAGTAATATACTACTTGGCCTGTATCTAGTATAAACTCACCATTTTTATTTTTGAAGATATTCAAAATTGGAAGTATCTGACGGTAATATGGTACCAAAGCCTCGCCTATCATATCGGCAGACATCACAAGCTGTTGAATAACTTTCAAAGTCGTACATACCACTTCAGGATCCCGAGTATTCAAGGCATCTGATATCACAAAAGAAATCATTGTAAAAGTGTGGGGATTTTTTTTATATTATGCAAATGACAAAAAACAACTTACTTTTAATTGGGATTATTAGTTGAGGCACTACAGGTAAAATCTTGGATCCACCATGTTGCAACATATCTTTAATTCCTTGACGAGCAAAGAATTTATAAGGGTGAGTTGTTTCAACCAAACCATCAAAGAACATTGGTAAATAATGATGGTAGTCAATTTTGTCAACCTCAATCTGTTGACACACGAAACAAAAATCACCAGCACATTGCAATCTGCTTCTGAACATTTAACTAATACATTTATTGCATCTAACAATCCTTTCCAAGAAAGTAATCTTTTTCCATGTTGTAACATGTTCAATGAATAGTTCAGTGTTCTTGTCAGTTAAAAAAACAAGCAGGATCAATCACGATTATTAATGAAAGAGAAAAAAAATATACATCTGTTAACATAAGCTATTCAAGAAGACACTTTCTACAATCCATCAGGCATTCTGTTTACAGTTAATAAAAATATAAAAAAATACATTTTTGGTCTTATAGTTTAAAAATTAATTCTTTAATTTTATCATTCAAGTTATCTAATAAATTAATATGAATAGTCACTTGAGAAAACAATA